GGATCGCACGTACTTGTACGATAAGTTGCGCATTCGCCTTCTCAGTGACTGCTGCAAGTCCGCGTCGTGACCAACTTTCTGGGAATCGTTCTCATCACATACTGTTGCACGACCATACACTTCACAAATTACCACCATGCATCTAAACAATAGACATTTATCAACCCAACATTCAGTAGTTTACATGCTCAAAGTCTTTACCTCATGGTCGTCACTATCAATACTGATCAAAACAACAACGAATCATAACATACTTTACCAGTTCACACCTGAGATTAGGGGATCAGTGACTTCAACAGGTTCCTTCTCTCCAGTACGACCCTCTTCTTCAATCGGCCAGAACGTAATCTGGAACTAGCACAAATTTTTTTCGGGAAATGGCTGACGATGTTTACTAACATAAATTGCCCTCATTTTTTACTTTCAGTTACACATTTGACAATGATATTAATGCGTCCGATTTTTTTTGGATAAAAACCGTTGGTTGACTTCATCTGGAAATGGTAGGTTTGTTGATTAACTGCACGTGCCCAACACGTTAGTCATTTTTTGGAATTTTTGGGATCGAGTCACTTTTTTGTCTTCAGCCTCTTATTTAGTACTTCCTCGGTCCCCCTAATATTGGTACGGAAGGGAGTGGTGTGGTTTTTAAGAAAAGTAGAATTATGTGGTTGATAATGAGTTGATAAAGTGGAAATAAAGTAAGAATGAATTAGAGCCACACAAATGTTACCAAATATGATATGAGACAATAATAAAAGGACATTCAAAAATAGAAAAATGGGACAATTATAGGGAAATGAGGGATTAATATGTATAAAAAAGGGCCTTAAAACTAGTAGTAGTAAAAACTAAAAAGTTGGGGGGAGGGCAAGGCCCCCTAACCCCTACATGTTGGTGATTTTAGTATCACCAGGTTCATTTTAGTGTAATGGAATTTACAGATTACCAATGGAGTTCAAGTTTAATTTTAGACAAGTTAGGAGGTGCGGAGCGCACACTTGTACGAAATTAAATTTAAACTTGGTTCGATTAAATGGCGGGGGTCAAGGGGGCTGCGCCCCCTTGCGGGGTCCAAGGGGCAGTGCCCCTGGCGGGGTCCAAGGGGCAGCGCCCCTGGCGGGGGACCAAAATTTTATTTTATTAAAGAAATAAATATGGAAATTTATTTTCGGATAAACATGTCCATATTAATTATTTAATAGAATGACTTTCTGTTAGAGTAAAACTCTAACTGATTGGCCTTATCTCTTTGGTAATCAGAAGAATTCGAGTTCTACTAAAACTGCTAGTTCGTGGTCTATATATTCGTGCCTCAGTTTTAGACTGTCTCTTAGAGTGATTATCCCCATAATCTAAATTTCGTGTAACCCATGCATAGGGTCGAAATATTAGATTCAGAAAGTGATCACACGATACTCTGAGAAATCCGCCAGATTTTCTAAAACAGTTTCCCAACTCCCCAGCTTGAACACTACACCTACCTCCGTCCCTTGTAGTGGGTCAGGTGACTTACTTCTTATGGGGTTGTTGCTTTATTATTGGCTTATGGCCCCCCTCCTCACTCTGAAAATTGCTAGAAGCAAGGAAAACTTTCTAATCGGGCCAATATATTCACGTATAATGAAATATACGGAGTAAGAAAGAAAAAGGTCAAAAAACGGAAATGGTAAATGGAATTTAAGAAATACAAGTACTCCGTAGAAGTGAAGAAGTGGGGAGAAACCGATAAAAAGAAAACAAATAACCAGAGAGTAAAGAGAAGTACTCCATAGTCCATATAATAGGCGTAGACCCTGACCTGACCCGGATCCGGTAGTTTTTAACGAGTACGAGTCTATATTTTATTCTGTTTATCTAGACCCGGATTCGGACCCGTTAGCATTTTTCATAAACGGGTCAGATATGGTACGTATTATTCCGATTCATTAAGGACCCGGATCCGTTTAAAATTTCTTTATATTACACACACACTAATATCTAAAGTGATTAGTTATAATACTTCAAATAAAAAAATACAAACTAATTACTAATACACACGCACTTTTTTTACCCGGTAGGCAAACCACCAAAATCAGTGGAGTAAATGTCGGGGAAGATTTACTAAGTTTTATTAAAAATAAGAAAATTACAAAATGAAAGAGGGGGACTAATCCACACACACCTGTACTGCTGTACATAATAATACATAAAGTTTTTAGTTGAATTCTTCAATTAAAAATATAATCATTAATACATATAAGTGATACTTACCAATAGTGAGATAGCTAAAAGTAATACAAACTTTCATCATGTATACGTACTAAGCCCATTTTTTATTGTTATTATTAATATTATATTATTAAATGAATATCATATACAATACGTTTTTATACTCTTAGTAGTCCAAGAGACATTTTTTGACGTAATTTATAATCTATTCTACGAGTTTTATGTGCAAGAGAAAGCAACATAGAGTGTATGGTTATACACCTATCTAAGAATCGATACTTTATTGGATAAAATTACTAATTTTTTATGAGAAATCTTGATTTTTTTAAAAGTGAAAAGATATTTTTCTTTTAACTTTGTGCACATCATTGTACATTTCATATACATATCATACTTGGCGGGTCTACCCGACCCGATTCTGAGTCCCGTTAGGTCTGGGTCCGGGTCCAAATTTTTAGACCCACCGGGTAAACGGGTCGGGTTCGGATATATTATTAACTAACCTAGCGGGTTCGGGTTTGGAACACTACGTTTTGACCCAAACCCGACTCATTGACAGACCTACGTATAAAATATGCGAGCTGAGGTCAACTCTAACATGCTACATTTTACCTCACGCGATTTACATCTTATACTTCGTATATGAAACGTGAGAAAATAACCACTGCGAGGAGTTAATGAGTTACACTCCAATGTATGAGTTACACTCCAATGTATGAATTACATTTGGCGCTAATAAAGATTACATTTCAAACCACATAAGGTACAATTCAATTTAAAGGATTTATTTACATCATGAAAAATATTGAAACAAAACAAATGTGCTTGAAAACAATTTACATCAGCGTTTTTATTTAAAACTTAAAATTAAATTACTTGATTTTGACCCTAGGAGTAGGATACTCACCATGCACCTCTCCTATGGTATAACAACTCATGGTGTTTCAATACCAATTTCGAACAATCTTGTATAATTTGTTATTGGGAAAAGTACAGAAAAGATACATGTAGTTTGAGCTGTTTTTAGATAATGGCATGTGTTTCATTTTTAACAAAGTGAGACATGTGTTTCAATTCTGTTATCACAGTTGAGGCATGACTTGTAATGCTTTTACAAAAATTAACTCCGATTTTCAAAAATCTTCGAAAAATTAAAAGAAAAATACTGGGAGGAAAAACATACATGACAGTAACAACTCCTATTTCGAGAAGAAAAACATATTAGTCCTATTTTGGAATTCCATATCTCATTTGCTCCTACTTTGAGCAATTTCCCAAAAAAGAATAGGTAATTTATGACCTACCTTAACTAAAAACTCTGCACTCATTGGTTTCCTTCACGGTAAATATAAATATGCTCAACTTCCCAAAAAAGGTGATTTCGATCAAATGGCTCGCAAAATTATGCCACCTCAAAAGAATTTTGGTGTGTGCACTCACCTTCCACCCTCAAAAGCTAAATAGCTGCCTGCTAATCCAGCTGCCAAGCAAATTAATTGATCTTTGTTCATATACAATAATTATTCAATTTATTTGTGTAACTGATTTATAAAATTTTCGGATAGATTTCTTCACAAAGGCATAAGCCTTTTGTGATATAATTTCACAGAAAGTGATTGTCTTGTGACCCACCCAATGTTAATAAAAGTGTAAATAGATGTATACAAATGTCACTTAGCTTTCTTAAAAGTATAGCAAAATCTTAAGAAGTAAATAAAAATAGACCCTCAATTCATTGCCATGTACACACATTGCTTTCCTCATTAAAACATCTTTGTGTGTAGGCCATCCACATACAAGGTTTCCTTAATCTTTAAAGAACACGCATATTTGGACGTCTCAACATATAGCATATTTTCAATCATTAATATTACAATTAAAACCAAATTATATTATATATTGAAACAAATCAGATAGTAGGAACATGATTTAATTTAATTTCCATCTTAAGGAACATGACCCTATATATGGATTATAGGCGTTTAGCGGTTCAATTTTAAAAAAGGTAAAATCGCAAATCTAACATGACACTTTTATTTTCGACCATGTTTAAGGCGGTTTTGATCCAACTTTGATTATTAATCCTCAATTCATGAACCGAACCGTTGATGGTTTGATAAGTTTTCATCGGGTTCAGTTTGTTCTATTTATCTTTTTTTTGTTCAACCCTAATATAAGTATGTACACTCCTTTATACTCCCTCCGTCCCATTTTACTTAGCCAAATTTGACTTTTCAAGTCAACGACGTCTAACTTTGACCGATTATATGTTTATGTAGAAAAATATTAATAATATGAAAGTGATATGAAAATGTTCTTTGTTAAAAATACTATCATAAAAGTATAAAATTATTAAATTTTGCATAAATATATTAGTTTAAATAGTTGGTCAAAGTTTACCACATTTGACTGGAAATGTCAAAGATGACTAAGTAAATTGGGACGGAGGTAGTATTGTATAGAGTAAATTAAATTTATAACCACGTACGTTACCAATCCTAAAGAGTTTTTACCTCTTTGGCGTACACTCTTTCGTACACTCGTCTGTCTCACGTATACAGAATTGTTTGTACACAGACAACAATGCAAGGTCTTGTCTGTGTACAAACAACACTGTATGCGTGAGACAGACGAGTGTACGAAAGGTGTACAACAAAAAATGTACACCTAGGACAACTTTATGAAATTCTTGGAGGGACGCTAAGAGGTAAGATGTCGCATTTGAGTGAAAATTTGAGCAAGAAAATGAGTTATAGTCGAATGAGTCCAAATTGGTTTAAAGGAGGCCAGGGTATCATTGTCAATCACAAAGTTCACAACCAAACAAGGGATATAGTTGGAATTGTGCACACTAAAAAAATGGTAGGAAGTAGCATCACCACACTACTACACAATTCACCAGTCATCACAAGATGTTAGTTGTTCATTTGAACAAGCAATTCTAGCATCTTTCCAATAAGTTAGAAAGAAAGCATTTGCCTTTTCTTTTCCCCCATCTATTATCATCAAGTCATCAACTTAATTGGAGCCAGCTCCAACTGGTTCATGGATATTGATCACCCTACAAAGAGTGCTATTAGGGGGTGGTTTAATATTTCTAGTAGTAATATTTTCTTGGAAATTAAATTATTATTCATATTATTATTACTACCTTTGTTATGGCAAAATCACAAGCTCTTCTCCTCCTTATCCTTGGGCCGCTCTTGATTACTTCCATAGTTTTCGTCCGCCGCCATGGAGAGCTTTCTCGGCCACCGGAGGCGACAATCCCGGCAATGGGAAGAAAAACCGGCCATATGAAGTCTCCAAGAAACCGACGATACTCCTCCACCATCACTATTGGAGGTCTCCATTCAAGCAGCATGGTCTTCAATGTTTCATTTCATGGCGTTCCCACCGGTGCAAATCCTATTAATAACAAGTAATTCAGCTTATTATCATTAATTTATTATTATTGTAAGCTTTAATTATTATTATTATTATTATATACTTAAATCCGATACATATATCATATATGTGTGTGTCAAATTTTTTCCACTATTGATTGCACCATTTCATGTCCAATGATCGGTGTCTCTCATATCTACAATTTTGTAAGGAGTATTTGTTACTGTGTTACAATATTGTTACTGTATACTTAAGCTCATCGTATATCAATGATCCAATATCATGAACAATTAATGTCATGGTTTATTTGTAATGGAAATCATATTTATTACCATAATCAATTAATCATTGTCATATCATTCTCACAATTATTATAAGGGTTCTTCTACATATTGTGTAGATGAAAAAAAAAACATATTGTGTTGATTATAAGTTTATTAAAAATTATATATTAAAATATGTTCTTAAATTTTTCCTCATGTAAATTTGAAATATAGAGTAATTCTATTTAGTTACGTAGTACTCCGTATAACTTATATAAAGTGATTGGAACAACGTGATGATGAAACTATGTACCTAAAAGTAATAAAGATTCTACAGAGTATATGAATTAGATAGGATGTTTTGAATTGGAGTGCAATTTTATGGTCGGTTTTTTCTTGTTTGGTCTGATCTAATCTACATTGACCCGGTTCGATCTGATCTGATAATTGTCTAGTCTTAGCTTTCTATAGTTTATATTGTCTAAGTCTTGTCTGATATGACTTGTTTTGATCATCTCATCTAGTCTTATGTTAATACATTGGTTTGTTATTTCATTATTTATGTCAATGCAAGATGAATATTGAACTTGAACAAAATCAATATAATTAATTGTTGGTTTCAATATGCAATTTTTGCATGATCTCATATGTAAGGAGTTGGTCAACATATTTGATTCTTTCTAGATCACTATCATATCAACCATCTGTCTCATGCATTAACGGCGGTTAGATGACTACTTTTCAACCGTATTTAATAAATACTCCGTCCTTCCCTTATAACTTTGTCAACTTTACTTTTTAGGATGTCTCACTAACTTTGTCACTTTCCTTTTTAAATAAAGAATTTGTGGGTTCAGTTAATTCTTTCTCCTCTACACAAACCTCAACCACACAGTTTTTACTTTATTAATCTCTATGTCAATCAAACTTGGTAAAATTAATAGGGACGGAGAGGGGGTAATATCCCATTATCAATATTATTGGTATATCGTTTTCAACTTTTCTTGCATCATGATTGAATATTCTATCACCCCTGTTAAGCTACTACGTAGTAGAAGCAATTTCCACTCCTACACAAAATCATGTTTATATTTTTTTTGAAAGACAAAATCATGTTTTAATGTTTATATATGCATGGTGATTGAAGTTGTTGTGAAGGAGAGTCTTGACACACCCGTTAAGATGTTGTGTGACTGAGAGATCACATTGTCAAATTAAAAATGACAAGGCCGGGAATGCTTGCCCTTTATACACCCTTATAGTGGGACTCGTCCATGGACCCTCAAATGTGCATCATATTGGGACACCCTCTCTATTCAATAATATCATTTTTAATTAAATTGTATACATTGTTTTATTGTTATTAATTATTCTCTCTTTCGATATTGTACTTAAGTTTTCCAGTCTCATTCTATAAGGTCAAATGACCGTAGGGATATTCATGATTACATGATCATATATTCTAGTTTAATATTTTTATATCTTACTTGAGACAAAAAAATTAACACAAACAAATTGAGAGTGGGTAACTAGGTCAAATAAACACAAATGGACAAACCTAAATTATGGGTGCCACACAAAGAATAGAAAAACAGCAAAATCTGACTTCAATAGGCAATTTATACCGTGCAACCGGCGCACCATGAGGATGGTGTGCCCGGTTGCAAAACAACGCTGGCTTCATTCAAAACGGCGCAGGTGCAGTGGCTTCATTCCATTATTTTTTATTTTTTTTATTGTTAAAAATTGTAATAACTTTTTTATTTGATATCCGATTTTTATAAATTTTATATCAATTTTTTTAATATTTCATGATCTATCAAATGAGACCAATATTGCTTATGTAATTTTAACAAATTATTTCGAAGTTACATTTGATAATATATCATGAAGTTACATCTTCTTCTGCGCGAGTTACATCTTATTGTACGCGAGTTACATCTTAACATACGCGAGTTACATCTTAATGTATGTGAGTTACACCGCGAAATAAACCCCTGCTACATCTTTCATTTTTATCATTTGAAAAATAGTGTGTGAATATGGAATACAATATACTTATTTTATGTGGATTAATAAAATTTTGTATTAAATTGGCAAAGAAAAATATTAATTCAGTTATAATTGAATTAGTTCAAGATAAAGATGAGTAAAAAATCACAAATAATTAGATATAACTCACACATAATTACATGTAACTCACGCATAAAAGTATGTAACTCGTGTATAACAAGATGTAACTCACACATAACAAGATGTAACTCACACATAATAACTTGTAACTGGAGTATAAGATGATGTAACTTCGTATATTATCAAATGTAACTCCAAGCTAGAAGCAAAATTAACAAACTCAATATCTTAAAAACCTCTAAAAATATATAAAAGCGATAAAAAAAATATTATAGAAAAAGTGTATGCATATAAAAATATATTACAAAAAATGTATGAATGTAAAAAATTAAAATTACATAGACAATATTGGTCTCATTTGAAAGATCATGAAAAATAAAAAAAATTGATATAAATTTTATAAAAATCGGATCAACAATAAAAAAAATTATTAACAATTTTAAGAAAAGGAGAAATAAAAAATAAGAAAGGGTGCATGGTGCTCACCATGCACCGGTTCCACGGTATAAGCACCGCTTTCATACCATCTTAAGATCTATAATTATTTCCTAAGGCCATCTCCAACAGTCTACACCATTTTTTACACTAAAATGGTGTAAACATCACATCATACAGTATTTTATCTCCAACAGTTTACACCATTTTCAACACCAAAAAGGAATATTCCTTTTTTATTCTTTTTACTAACTTTTTACCATTCTTCTATTTAAGTATGTAATTATCATATATTTATACATTAGCCCCTCATTTAATATTTTGACATTTCACACATTATTCCACACATACAAACTAAAATACACTATTTTAATATGTATTTTTCTTAAGTATCATTTGTATTCTGTTATTATGATGTTTGGGTTTGAAACTCTATTTATAATATTGTGTGATTTAAAGTTTATTATATTTTTTTATTTTCTATAAAATTAATAATTTTAATTACTTGTTCTAAACAGAGGTTTTTACTTGGATTACGATTTGTCCCAGATCAGATAAGACCAGATTCGACTAAACTTGAATAGTTATAAAAATATAAAGAAATCAGACCTGACCACATCAGTTCAGACCAGACCAGACCAAATCATACCGGACCATATCAGACCAGCAAATTACAGTCCAAATAAAAACATCCTAATTTGTTGTTCTAAAAATGGGTCAAAAGTATAACAACCAAAAGTTTGGGTCACATTTGAAATAAAATAAAAATTAAAAAAAAAAAGATGGCGTAGGGGATGGTGTGCGCCATATATGGCGTAAACCCAAACTCCCTCCCTCATTTTGGTGAGATGGTGTGAAGAATGGTGTAGCTATTGAAGCAAGTTTTTGACAAATACACCATTTTGGTGTGTGATTCGGTGGTCCGTTGGAGAAGCTCTAAAAGACTTACCTAGTAGGAGTAGTATGTGGTAGGTAAAATCTTATGAGTACACGGGTTTCATTGTCGCACAGGGCTGAACAACTTTAATATAATCATGTATGTAGATAATGACTTAAACATAAATACTCTGCTTTAACATGGTCATGGACGTCACCCTATGCCACCATTTAACGCTTAAGCGGGACTAGTTGGAGATATAAAATTTATAATTTTATCAAGGTTTTTTCATAAATATGATTAATAATGTTGTATTTGTGTGTATAAAAATAGGTACACATACGCGTTAACATGAATGAAACTTTTTGTACCCACACGGGTAGCTCAGTTGGTCGAGTGGTGGGAGATTTGGAACAATGGAGCTGGATTCGAATCCCCGCAGCGACCGGGTAGAGGTCACAGAACCTGAAATAAGGTTGGGCCTCTGGTGCGCACGGGTGTATGGGCCTACTGCCATTCTGCTGACTGAGTCACCGTGACTAACCTCCCCACCGTCCTGTCGGGTCAGGGTTGGGGCTCCTCGGGTAGGAGATTCCACCTTTAGGGAACAATGAATGAAACTTTTTGTACATAATGGTAAGTGGCCATTCTAAAACCCAAGCTCATTCGATTTTAGGGTAATCACATATACCGGAGTATGTGACTAAACTTTTTGTACATAAAACCTTTATGTATTGAAAATTAATACCTTTAATTAATAAATTTATTTCAATTTATTACTTATACGGAGTAGTTCATATTTAGAAATATCACCGTTCTAAAAAAGGTTTAATCCCCAACCCCAAAAGCCCACCACACCCCGACTCGACATGATTTTTGGAGCATGTAAGTTACGGTGACTCAGTCAGACCAATGATGATACACCTTATACCCGTGCGCACTAGAGGTCCAACCCAGCACGCAGTAGTTGTAACTCGCTGCGGGTTTCGAACCTTGATCACTCTTCCACATTTTCCACCACTAAATCAACTGAGCTACCTGTGCAGGTCATATTTGAAAATATGAGAGGATTTTTGGGAGTACTACATCGGCCATCGGGGTCATAAACGGAGGACTATATGTAGCTAGCTAGCCCCTATGCAATATTCTTATGCTTTTAACTTTTCGATCTTGGCTTAAAACATTAGTCCATTTTTGCCTTATCAAAAGATGGTGGCCGAAAGTTATCCGGCTGTCTTGGCTGACTAGCCTGACTTTCAAAGATATTTTAATATTGTGAGGACCTTTTATGTAGACTTATTTCAATCATAGTTTTTTCCCAAAATAATGCTAAACAAAAAAAAATATACAAAATTAGAGTTGAGTTAAAAATACTCTATAATAAAACCTGGTTAACCAAAGTTAGCGACTTAAGCTTAAATTCGTAACTCACGAACACAACAAACTAAAAAAGAGATGACCAATAGAAATAGTTCATGCACCCAAACTTTAAAAAAATCCCTCTTTTTTAAAAATTGTTGCAAGTTTTTTATTTATAATCCGATTTTTCATAAAAAATATATCAAAATTCATAACTTTTTATTACATTTAATATGACATCAATATTAAATATATATTATCAAAAAAATCTGAAGATACAATGATTGGAGGTTTTTAGGCTACAAACTTTTTAAGTAAATCAATATATGTTCTAAAATTAAGGTTTCATAATTTCTTAGAGCCTGTTTGGTAACATTGAAATTGACTGAATCGGTCGATTCCGGTGAAGTTTATTAAGTTCCGGTACTGTATCAGCTAATTCAGGCACTTTATCCAGAACTTAATAAACTTCAGCGGAGGAGGTCGGTGGTTCTGTGTCTTTTTGGAGGAGGGTGAAACAGGCCAAGGAAGCCTGGATCCGACGATAGAAAGAAGGCGTAGAGCTGTGGCTGAATTGGAGTGCGGATGATTTCAATTCCGTTTGGGCTGGACTTTTCACTTCAGAGGTGGTCACATTTTTGTCCATGTATAAAATTGTCATATTTTTGTCCATTCAAAGTCCCTGACTAATATTTTAGTCATTCTTTCTCCTAACTATTCCTCGAAATGTTTGTCATTTGATATGTCGTTACTCCTTAATCCTTACAAGCAAACTTGAGATATAATTTGTGGAGTTTCATAATGACGGACAATAACTTGATTTTCTTAAATTAATACTTCCTTTGTATCATTTTAATTGTCATTACACAATATTCACTTAGATAATTTATAAAAAGTATGACGCTTTTGATAGTGTTAAAGTACAAGAGTTTTGGTACAGTATACTCCCTCAGTCCCGATCATTTCTTCCAATTTTGACCGGTATCGCAAATTTAGGTAGTGGAAATAAAGTGAAAATGTATGGTTGTAGTTGTGTAAGAAAAATGTGAATTAATGTGAACCACATATTTTTCCAAAAGTGAAAGTTGGATGAATTAATTGGGACGGCCCAAAAAGGAAAATTGGAAGAAATGACCGGGACGGAGGGAGTAATTTATTAAATTGTTCTATAGCTGCTTTTAGAGTATTTTTTCCAAATATGAAAATATGACTAGTAAATTAACCGGTCTGAGTAGAAAGACAGAGTATAATACAGAGTATATATACAGAGTATATAATATGGAGATGGGGGGTGAGCGATTTTCATCGGAGCTTTTTATAGCAGAACTCTTCGATCCAATCGGGATATAATTTCACAATAATGACGAATTATATTAAGGTTTGATCAATTTCTGATCAGAAGATTTGTGAATCGACGCCCATCTTTCTTTTTTGGTAGAAATTTGAGTCGGAAAAGTAATAGAGGTAGCGACGAACGCTTTCAGGGTGAGTGACATGTGTCATTTACTAGTGTATAAACAACACATTTTAGAATGATTTTACGTTGTGTTTACTCAGCTTTTGTACAATTACAATGTAATCTTTATCTTATAAAATTATACTCCCTTCATCAAGAAAAGGTTCGTCAAATTGAATTTTTTGGTCAATGACAATCAACTTCGACCAATTATATTTTTTAATACGAAATTATTTAGAATAAAAAAATTATATCAAAATGTTCCTTATTCATAATATTTTCATAAAAGTATAAAATTTATAAATTATATTAAAATATAATAATTAAAATTATTGTCCAAAGTTTGCCATCATTGACAAGAAAAATCTATATGGCGAACCTTTTCGTGACGGAAGTAGTACTAGAATTAGAGGATATCAAAAGATTTTTACATGTAAGCATCAAACATGATGAATAGCAAGAGATTTTGACATGTAAGCATCAACCTTTCCGGTATTGTATCAGCTAATTCAGGCACTTTATCCAGAACTTAATAAACTTCACTGGAATCGACTGATACAGTCAATTTCAGTGTTACCAAACGGGCTCTAAGAAATTATGAAAACTTAATTTTAAAACATCGATCTACTTAAAAAAGTTTGAGCCTAAAAACCTCCACTCATTGCATCTTCAGAATTTTTTTGATTTTATATATTGAATATTGGTGTCATATAAAATGTAACAAAAAGTTATGAATTTTGATATATTTTGGTAAATAGTTTTAACACAAGCCTAATTTGGTATATATTTTTTATTTAGCATTATTGTGGATAAAAACTCTTTCAATCATACATCAAATTAAATCAAATTAAGTTGATCAAATTAAATTAAACAAGATTTTAATCGATGGGTGTTTAGAATAGAACTGATAAGATTTAAATTATAGTAAAATCATAGGTTAAAGGATCAAATAGGCTCATGTACCGATCATGTAAGTTTAATTCAATTCACGCCTCGAACCGGCAAAAAATATTTCAAATTTCATTTTTTACAGGTAACCAACTGGTCACCCGCCATGTCACCGGTCATCATGCCACATGTGCATCTGAAGTTGAAACTAAAAGCTCAAATAAACCTCTGAACCCGTCACAGTTGATCAAATCACCCCCTAAACTATTAAAAAGTGTCAAAATTTTAATAAATTAAAAATATAAAATAGAAAAAATTAAAAAATAAATAAAATAATTTTAATATAAAAGAAATGAAACTTAAGTTTAATTTTAGACTTTATATTCATACTTTATATCTATGTTTTTTGATCAATTTTTTATTTAAGAATTCATTTTTATTTTAATGTTTTTATGTTATGTTATTATATTTAACTAATATGAAAATAACGACGACATTCTTATTTGAGAATATTTGCTTTGTTATATTCCTACTTAGGGATTTTTTCTTTAGAGTTTTAGATTTGTCCTTACATTTATATTTCATATTTCACTAGATTTTAACATATTTTCCTATTTATTTTATTTTGTATTAGATAAAAAAATCATATTTATGCTTCAACTTATACGTAGTACAAAATATTTCCAGACTGAACTTTTACATTTTTTATTCTATAAGTTTTTTGAAGTATTATAAATTTGATGGAATAATAGGACTAGGCCCAGAGCCTAATCAGCCCAAGCCCTGAACTTGGATCCGTGGATCCAAGTCCACAACCTAGAGCCTGCCTGCCAACCCAGCGGGGAGCCTGCCAGTCCGACCGACCTCCCAGCCCGGAATAGTAACGGTCAAGCAATTAATGCGCTATTAATTATGTATTTAATTCTGTATTAATGTTGTAATTAATTAATCATTATTATCGTTAGCGGTTACGATTCGTATACGCCTATAAAAGGCGTGTTGTAATTCAGATTAGAGGAAGCAACTTCTATATTCTATTTTTGGCAACTAAATCTCTTTGAAACTTTCCTTATGCATATTAGTTTCTTGATTCCTGCTTGAGCGTCGTACGTAGCTTTCCTAAAAGCCTACGAGCGTCCTATTTTGGACCAACATTGGTGCTTTCATTGAGAGTCTCTATTGCCCCTCATCACTTGGGCAGGAATCAATCAAGAAATTTCAAGAAAAAAGGACAAAGAATGAAGTTTTTTAGCAATTTTTCAGGTTTGCAATTCACAATCATGGAGAAAATTCATCCAAAACAATCTGAAAATTCAACAAAGAAGGAAAATTATGAGTCATGGAATGGGAGATCTAAGATTTGCCAGACATGGCTGGAGCAACCGTCACCGTGCCGCCGTGTCTGAGGCGACATCGCCCCGTAACTGGCCTGGCACCGCCGTCGCCATGCAATCGATGCCAGAGATCTGGCATCCCAATCTGGCCACCACCTCTGTCGCGGCATCGCCGTTCGCCACTCGTTCGTATTCGTCCCAACTCGCAGCTCTATGCCGGAGAGCTGTCCTTAATCATTCTTGTGTTCGGGTAAAGGGCTCTTCACCAACACCGGGCCGTGTCACGGAGCTGTAGCCCCGCTGGAAGCGACACAAGCAGCAGCAGCAGTTCCGACGAACCTTCTTTCCCTCTCCGACAACGCCCAAGGATGAAACCTATGATGTTTCCAAGTGCCTAGCAGCCCGAGCAAGCGACATCCGAGCGCGAGAACCAGCAGGGCTTGACGACGGACGGGGTCAGCATGTCACTCTTCACCCCTCGCTCATCCAACAACGACTGTGAGCGTGGGCGGTGCATCTTCCTTTTGCCCGACGGTCGCCTCTCTCTCACTCGCCTCCGTTTCCGGCGGCAACAGATGAAAGACCTGGATGGCAAGGTCATCTCCAAGGTTAGGAGAGTCAACTGGCCTTACGAGAAAGATAGGTCAGGAAGGTTTTGGGCCGAAGTGAAAATCAATAGGCTGGTCCATTTGGGGCAAGTTTATCCATGTGCTGGATTTGAGCCACACTTCAAATTTAATCCCGTTTACAAGCTAAGTATTCCAAAACAATCTCCATACAATTAATATATGTGGAAATGTATGATTTTAAAAAATCATAAATTGAAATTTTTGAAAAGATATTTTAAGTGGTTTAATTGCTTTTACTCTTGTTAAGCGTGTATAATTTTAACATTGAATAACAGACTTATAAAATCTGATCACTCAAGTACGCCGGACGAACACACACTCGTACACTGGTCGAGCACACACACTCGCGCCGAGTATACTACTCGACTAAGGGAGTGGGGGACTCGTGATGGAGTAATAAGACTAGGCCCAGAGCCTAATCAGCCCAAGCTTTGAACTTGGACCCGTGGATCCAAGTCCACAACCTAGAGCCTGCCTGCCAACCCAGCGGGGAGCCTGCCAGTCCGACCGACCTCCCAGCCCGGAAGAGTAACGGTCAAGCAATTAATGCGCTATTAATTATGTATTTAATTCTGTATTAATGTTGTACTTAATTAGTCATTAGTATCGGTAGCGGTTACGATTCGTATACGCCTTTAAAAGGCGTGTTGTAATTCAGATCAGAGGAAGCAACTTCTATATTCTATTTCTGGCAACTAGATCCCTTTGAAACTTTCCTTATTCATATTAGTTTCTTGATTCCTGCTTGAGTGTCGTACGTAGATTTCCTAAAAGCCTACGAACGTCCTATTTTGGACCAACAAAATTCATGTTTTATATTTCATACATTTTTAATTCAAAACCTACGAAATGATAAAAATATACTCATTAAAATATTCATAAAATCTTAAATAAAATATTGATGTAAAAACATATATATAAAGTATGAACATAAAGTCTAATTTAAACTTAATTTTCATGTTTATATTTTTTTTAATTTTTTATATTTATATATTTTGTAATTTTTTTTAATTTTTTCTATTTTTTTTGAATTTATTACAATTTTGACACTTTTTAATAGTTTAAGGGGTGATTTGATCAACTGTGACGAGTTCAAGGGCTTATTTGAGCTTTTAGTTTCAACTTCAGATGCCCATGTGGCATGATGGCCGGTGACATGGAAGGTGACCCGTTTACTTGTTCCCGGATCCGGACCCATTAGTATTTTAAATAAACGGGTCGGGTATGGTACACATGATTCCGACCCTAATGTGAGTTTTCTCGCAATTAAAATAGATTGTAATATAGTGATGTAAGTACGAGTATTGTCTCCACAGGGACGAACAAAAGTTCATTAATTAATTTCATGTTAAGATCCGGCCTCACCAAGGAAAAATAACAATTAAAGTTCATTAATTCAGTCGTGAATCCATGCCTACAATGCAATCCTCGAAAGTTCATTAATTCAGTCTTCAGGGACGGACAAAAGTTCATTAATTAATTTCATGTAATTAGGCTGGATCTACCAAAAACCTGGTTACCCCGGAATCAATCCTTGTTTCCTTTGTCATTAATTAGGTAGAACCCCCTA